CGCTCCAAGAGAGCCCCAAGACGGCCGAAGAGGGTTCAGAAGCTACCCTCAGAGGGCCCCATGACGGCCCAAGATTGCCCCAAGACGCCCTCCTCAAGAATTCAAGCCGTGACTTGAGACCACGGTTCGCGGCATGGTGGCCCGAGGAACCCCCCAGAGGCGGCCAGAAGGTGCCAAGGACGTCTCCAGAGGCGCCCAATGAACCCCTCGAAAGCTTTCGGGAGGGCCTGCACTGGCTCGCCTCGGAGGAGCCTCCGCAGACAACTCTAAGGAGGACGGGGAAGGGTTCGCCGGGCAATGAAGGCGAGAACGAGAAAGATGAAGAGGCAACGGAGGAGGACACATGAGTGAATGAATAGGAACAAACCTAAGTCAATGGTGATGGCGAAAATAGCACCAAATATCGAACGCTGTGTTGATTGATCTTCCTCTCTCTCATTACGCCTGAATGTTAGGCGTGAAGGACTAAGCTGCATAGCGCACAGCGCCAATGCAATCTTGTGTGTATATATATATATAGATATCTGTATGTGTGTATGCATATATATATATGTATTACATTGGAGGTTGAAGGGTGAGATCGCAGTGAAACGGGGAGCCCCCCACCGGAAAATCGGTTTCGCTTTCGCGTTCGTGTCGCGCGCGCGGGCGAGACGAAGCTGCGTGGGCGTGCGAGAGGAATGACCCCGCCGTCGCTAAGCCGATTCGGATTCAGTGGACCGCCCCTGCGCCTCCGGTGGGCTGGGGTTTCGCGCCGTGGTGTCCCGTTGGTGTCCCGTTGGTGTCCCGTTGGTGTCCCGTCGGTGTTCCGTCGGCGGTGGGCGGGCGGTGGCGGGGGGTGCCCCGCCTTCAGTGTGAGATCGTTAATGGGATCGATCGCTGAATGCATTGGAACGCAAAGTGGCCGTGAAATCGATAGTGGGATTGGTCGAGTGAGATCGAACGCGGGGACGATAGTGACACCACATCATAGCGCAACATCGTCATCACGCGTCGTCGCTGATTCAAGTCGCGTCACCAGGATCGTCATCATATTCGCATTTTCCAGCGGTTGGCTCTTCCCCCCACCCGCGCCCCAACCTCTTCATCGCCCGAAGGGTGGTCGTACACATGTATATTGTTCGGAGAAATGATGGTGACGCCGGCAGGTTGTTCGTGTACCCGATACATAGTTCGATCTGTGCCCCGTGTTTGTCCCGTGGTTGTCTCGTGGTTGTCCCGTTTTTGTCCCGATGGTTTTCCCGTGGTTGTCAAATGGTTGTCCCGAGGTTGTTCCGTGGTTGTCCCGCGGTTGCCCTGTGGTTGTTCCGCGGTTGTCCTGCGGTCTCCCCGTGGGTTTTCATTTCGTTGTCCCGTGGTTGCTTCGTGGTTGTCTCGTGGTTGTCCCGTTGTTGTTCTTTGGCTGTTCCGCAGTCGTTTCGTGGTTGCCTTTAGTTGTCGATTGCTGTCCCGTGGTTGTCCCGCGGTCGTCCCGTGGTTGTCCCGTGCGTAAACATCTCGGTAGGTGACAGACAGACTGGTCGATATTGATATCGGTATATATCTGGAAGGATCGGTTGTTCATGTCTATCAGTCGAAAATTGTGAGACCGATCGTGGGACCGATTAATGCGAAGGCCTTGCGGCCGGTGCCGCCGACCCTGAAGGGAGACGACGACGACAACGGCGGCGGCGGCAACGACGACGACGCTGACGTGGACCAGAGTCCTCAGGGATGGTTCTTGGGGTCTCTTCGGAAGCCTCTCGGGGGCCTCTGGGGAGAACTTGGGGCCTCTTGGGAGCCTCTTTGGGGCCTCTTCGGGCTTCCTGGGGACCTCTTGTGAGCTTCTTGGGGCCTCTGGGGAACCTCTAGGGGCCTCCTGGGAGCGTCTGGGGGCCGAGGGCTCGAAATGTCCGGTCGGGTCCCCCGTCTGGGTACGCTCTTGGAGCCGTCTTGGGGGCATCTGGGGCCGTCTTGGAGGCGTTTTGGGCTGTCTTGGGGTCCTCTTGGGCTGTTTTGGGGCCTTCTTGGAGGCCTCTTGGGCCGTCTTGGGGAGATCTTTGGGGCCTCTGGCGCCGTCTTGCAGCGACGGGAAGTGGACAAGGCGAGACTGCGAGAACGCCCCAATCTTAAAACAACCAGCGACAAATCCATGAATTTGGCCTCTTGGGGCCCTCTCGGGAGTGCTCTTGGATGCGTCTTGGGGCGTCCTGGAGGCCTCCTGGGCAGTCTGGAGGGCGTGAAGGCGTTTTGGACCGATCGTTTGGCGATTAGGAGCCCTCTGGGTCCGTCTAGGCGGCCTCTTGGGATACTCTTGGCCGTTCTTGGACTTGCTGAGGCCCCTGAGCCCCCAGGGGGGGAAGGCGTATCTGGGTCGCGACTCCCCCTGGGACCCCCCTGGGATCCCCCCCCCTGGCGCGGGGAAGGGACCAAAGGGAGGGGGCTTCCTTTCGACTCGATTACGACATTGCTAGATTTTGCTCTCGCTGACAAGCTTGAGGAGGAGGGTGCAGGGAAAGGG